GTGATCTGAAAAAGGTACACCATTAAAATCATTGTGTAATTTAACCTGTACTGAGTCGTTTAGTTGTTGGCTTTAATATGGTGATTTATGCAATGTGAAGTGAAACAACAGGGAATGATACTCATATTCGTGGAAAGATATCAGGATTTCACACTTTAAACCTAAGGCAAAAACAGGTGTTTTGGATTGGTAAGCGTTACCAGAAACACAAGTACGTGGGTCAATCATCCTGATGCGTCATATCGAATGGTTAAATATCATTAACGATCTAAGGTACCGTATCGTAGGTATTAGAATTTTAATGATTGAAATCGGGAGAGGAGTTACAGATCTATACCCATTATCTTAAAGTAGCAATGGCGTAAAACATGTCGTAACCAGTAATCAGAAAGCATATTCTAAGCATAACTATTGAGTAGTGGATGATAATTAAAGGCCTTACCTAGCTTACTTTCTCATCTACCCCATCCCCAGCCCCATCCCTACCCTCACCCCAACCAACCCCACCCCACCATACATGCTGCATGCATACATGAGCAGGTTTAATCATTACAAAATATACTATTTGTTTTATTGGTATAAACCCTCCAAAAATAGTATGTTACTATTATTAGAACATGTATAATAAGATCATTTTGAGAATAACATACCTTGTCAAACCTTGTAAGAGAATATCGTGGGAATAGCAGACTTTCTGAAAGTCAATCACGAGGAAAGTCTTTTGAAGAAATTGGAAGTCGCTGTAGCGTTTAAAAACATGAGGAAACAGCATGCAACATATCGGTTAACGTGAACTGTGGAAGCACAAAAGAGATAAACAGGAAAGGTAAGTAAGGAAGCATATTGTAGTAACCTATTATAGTAATATGTTTTAATTTTGTGGCGATGTAATGCAATCTAGTGACCTATTATACACACTCTGTTACGATGTTGTTTGGCCAACTGCAATAATATCAATCCTATTCACTGAATTTAAAGGTTATTTGAAAACTGATATACTGAAAAACTTTAAATTAATAGAAGTTTTTGTTTTCATTCATGTCTATATCTTATGTAGCTCAGCTCATTGTAGCCTTATTTAGTATTTAGCTAATATGTGTATATTGTGATTTAAACAAGTATTTCATTAAATTTTTCACACGTCACAATATATACGTCGTTCTTGTGTTGTGATTTTTTTAATGTTTAATTTATCCTTTAAAACTCGAATAGACTCTGCGAGATGCAGATTCAAATTGAGAAGCCGAATGCACTACAGATTTAATCGATGGCAGTTCAAATGAAAGTGTGTGAAGGTTTAAATAATAAAAAATATTTGAAATTCATTAAAAGTTACTTCATCAACTCCTTCAGTATAAATCTATGATCCATTTGCTACTTCCGTTTATAGGTGAATAATGAGAGAAGGAAACAATAAGGAGATTATTGAAACTGCGTCCATGTAACCTTCAATTACTCCGTCATCATTACCCGAAATGGAATCCGTGTTATTTATATGACCTTCTAGAAGTCGTCTGGTTTCATGTCAGTGTCTTCCCGTATGTCAGTTGTACTGGAAGCTTTATTCCTTACGTATGTGCGATTTCACATTTCCCAGTAAAATCTCGATATTGGGGATTGTCATATTATCGTTACGCACGTGTACTATTGTTTACTAGTTGTTACTATAATTTGCACTACGGTATTGAAAATGCCCTATACGCATTACGGAAATGCCGACACGGTGTTCATGCACATTTCGATCGAGATGATTGAGTCCGAGTTTTACTTTCTCCGGAAGTACGTCACGAAAATGAACACTGATGACGATGTGTGGAGCCCCCTTAAGGCTTTTAAGACTCTTGACATCGAGGTACTTGGAGAATGTTATATTTAGGCTTGTTCATTTCTAACGGCAGAGATGTTTGACATTTTAATGAATTTATCGTCTCTTCAATTAGATACAATGGGCGTGGTTGAATTTGAAAAGTCATATGTTTGCTCTATTTGAAACACTGGAAATATAAGGCTGGATTACCAGTTTGTTTATTTTTTTTGGTATTTTCCATTTCAATGTAACTGAGCACGAACAAGATCATATCACATCGACACACTCCCATTCTCTTATCACCAAACGGTGGAACACGAGTCGCCATATTGCGTTATCCTATACTTATTATCTATGTTAACGTATTCGACTTTTACTAGCTAAAGCCATCGTGACAAATAAAAACACTGGGACCAGACGCTGTTTGCCTATCAACACTGTTTTACCGAGTTCAAATGTCCCATACTGTATGCTAATTGTGGTCATTGTGTTCACACCTTTTTCCTGTTTGATAAGTTGGAATATATTCCATATAATATCAATGTATTTGACTAAACCCCAGTTAAACACACGACCATTACTTATTTGAAATCCTTCACTGGGTATTTTCCATTGGAAAACATTACTAAAGTTAAATAAATTAAAAAAATTATGTTCTGAACTTGAGAATTTTCCTTCACTTCAACAATGCTTTCATATGGGAAACGACTTGATTTAAGGAGCTTTATTCAGCCAGGGAACCTTCTTGAACCAACATAGTCTACAGAGGTTTAACTGGATAATATCTTACTGACATGTGTGACCCATGATTGTGCAATTGACACCTTAGCTCGAATTTTGTATATGTTTCCCATTAGTTGTAGTTTTAATATGCTTTGCAATCATCACATATAGAATATATACCAACATCGAATTTCTTGAACAATGAACGTAAGACCCCCCTGCACACGCAGACACGCACACAGACAACAGCACCTTTAAAACTTGGTAATAGATACAGTGTTCTAAAATTGAACTACACTGCATTATACAGCTGGGTCGTCCTTCTTTCATAAGTTGAGACGTATATTAAGTTGGTGCACGAACTTAAACTTTCTGCTCATCTACAAAGGGCCATTGAACTTTTATGCATCCACAAAAAGATTAATATAAAATGTCCACAAGAGCACTCTACATGTAAAGGTATCTTTAAAAAGTATATGTAGAATGAGACCAAGTGTTCCGGAAGCGTTAACGTCTTTTGCTACATCGACGACACCCACCACGTAAACCTAGGTCAAATCAAAGTAATGCCACATATTACATAGCGATACGCTAAAGAGAATTAACCAAAACAAAGTGTAACGTCTTCGCCCCTGTCTCAACCCTTTACATAGAGAGCACGACTATTTTAAACTGACACTTACTGCTTATGACAAGCCCCCAGGAAATTATATGGTATTTTCAAACCAAATACCTAATGACTGACTAGATCTAAGTAAACAAGGAAGACCTAGAAAGCATAGGATCAGTTTACGCACATCTTTGCGGTTACCGTTTATTAAGGAATTCAATACCAATTATACAGAGACGGATACAACAATTCTACAGACTCTCTCCTAATTCTCTCACAAATATGATGTACAGTTGTGGGATCGCACAACGTTACAATAAATGGAGACCTATTTCTGAGCCCTGAATCCCAGAACTATCTGATAAATATAGGGGACAAAACAAGTCTATTTCCCTACTGTAGTTTTGATAATTAATAACAGAAATGAACCTAGCGCCAATGAATATTAGTAGTACTAAAATCTCCCGTCCATCCCCATATCACAATCCAAAAGTGTAGTAGCCGCCAGCAGCTTACATCTAACCTTCCTCTATGAAAGTCCGACGGCAACTGATTTTCTAACGCCTCAACGAATCCCTACGTCCCTGGTTAGACGCTAACATCAACGGGGCAACCCACGAGCTCAACTTCCCCAGCGGACTCCGAAGAGGTAAACGGCGCCACACCCGTTGCTCGCAACGTAGTACCCGTTGAACCCAAATAAACACGACGATCTACATTGACACTTGTATGAAAATACTTCTCAAATCAACATTAATATATACATATTTTATATTTTTAACATCTACAACTCTTTCGTACCGTTATTCACTCTCTGACTCACAATCCCATACTTCCAACGCATACCATATTTCCAACGAATCCCTTTTGTCCAATACTGCCAATACACAACGGAATAAATACTCAAGTGACCCCGATTGACACAGTTCAAGAGGTCACGAGAGTTCACAAAAAGGGCGACGTTCAGACACACTCGCAGCGTCCACGCTCTCTGCCAAAACATTACCTTTCTCGCTCTCTCCAGACGGTTTTTACAGGCTAACGGTTAATCAAGATAATAAAGGTATTTACATTTGAATGAAAACCGTGTTGCACATTGGAAAACAAAAGTAAATACCGTTTGAATGGTCATTGTGTTTAAAAACATGTGCTTGACAACTCAAGATATTTACAAACATTTTCAAACTACTGTCACGCTAGAGTCAGTGACTATTATTGAACAATTCATTAAATATCTTGCTTTACGACAAACAATCCAGTAAAATAGAGTCAGTGACTATTATTGAACAATTCATTAAAGATCTTGCTTTATGACAAACAATCAAGTAAAATATCATATTTTTACAATAGATCTAGACCTTCATGGCATAAAAAGGGAAATCATATTTATTTTCCTGAGAGACGCTGACCCCAACACTTGTCCATTACATTTATATTCCTTAATCTACTGAGGGCTTGTGTTGTAAGTTTGTTCTTGAATAAGAAACAAACTGCCACGAAAGTGAAAATTCAAGATAAAAAAATCAAAATCGTCCAGCTAAAATGATCGAAGGAATAAGCTAATATGTAGTGTCCTCGATTTCAAGTTCAAAAAGATATTGCAGATCAATAGGTCAACAAATATCTTGTGATGTAAAGACAGCATATCGGCAGTATATCCGGATGTGAAATAGAAAACTAGATTTTTGTGACAATATCAGATAAGCTGCTCATTAGATTCAGCGTAATAAAAAGCAAAACCTGTCGGCAGGAACAAAATGCCTGGCCCCTGTGCGAATGTATTGATGATTCATCCGTTTTATATTCCAATAAATGTGACATTTTTCCCATCTCCCAGACAGTTGCTTTGCTACTCTGGTCAGGAATAGCTCGCATTGTTTGCTGTGCCACCCGCTGAATATATTATTTCTTATATTGACATTGTTTTGTCCAACATAAGTGACATACCTCACATATGTTAAACATGATGTATCGGTTTGTCATCTTAAGTACTATTGTCACCATAAGTTCATATTCGAGCGTAGCTGAGACCGAGAGGGAAGTGGTTACGGATCAGGTACATCAACCGTTAACGGGAAAGTTGGTTTCCTCACCAGACGAGGCCGAGGGGGAAGTGCTTACGGATCAGGTACATCAACCGTTAACGGGAAACTTGGCTTCGTCCCCAGACGATCAATGGCCCGCAGGTAAGGTGTTATTAATCCTATATTTTAACACTGCTATTGCAATTACAAAAACATGGATGGCATGACAAACAATAACATAAACCGCATTATGAATAAGATACTCCATATTCCGGTAAAAATAATTATTTTATTTATGGGTGTTTAACTAACTGTTTACCGGGAAATTTTCGCCTTTTTCGCCCTCTGCTATGAGGGCGAATCTATCATCATGAATATTAGCAAACAATTTACCATATATAGTAGTTAAATGTGAAGGGCGAAATTCATACTAGGCGAAGATAGACTTTACCAGTGAAGGGCAAATATTTGACTGGACGATAGTTCCCGGTAAAGAGTAAATACCGAAACCAAATTCCAGTTTCGTAGGTTTATAATGTGGACTGACTGATGTGTATCTTACACATCTACCTGTCAATAATTCTATTTTGTGAGGTAGCTTCTTCTATCAGTATCTCTTTTATTCTACGATTATCTGTCATTGATTGTACATCTCTTCGCAAAATGGTGATAATTTAATATAAGGGAAGTATTCCACGGAAGTATATTTTCCATATGACAATCTCATATCCAACATATATGTCAACATCTATAGATTAGTACTCCTTTGTAATTATTCTTTTAAAGTATTAGTACACTGTACATTAGTTCCGTCTTAGAAAGGCATGGTTATCTGACATCAAAACTTTCTACCAATTATCTAAACATTAATATATACATATTTATGTTACGAGTAAAATCTCAAGACATTTTCAAGTGCAACTTCAATGTAATATTATTTAAACAATCAATGTTCAGTATTGTGGAAAACATATAATGTGATATAATTAATGTAAAATGTTATTGAGCTAAGGAATCTGCGAGAATTTCTTAGAATGAACACACTTAGAATCTCGTTCCCAAAATGTTTTTTCCGAATAAACAATATACACTTATATTGATAAAACAAAAAGTTATTCTACGGGGCGACTCGAATTGTACAGGATACGTGTAAAAAGGTGAAACAAAGATAAGGATATATCAATCTTCATCATACTGCGGTTCTCCATCTTTCCATCCCTCTCATAAACTGGAGATTATCACTTCCTCAGCCTCTAATATAACTCCGACCGGCATTTCCTCCCTCCTCTCAAACATAGCTGACCACGACCTTCCTCTGACTCCTTACACAGTTGACCATGACCACTTATTGACCAACATACAACCCCCTTTTCCTGCTACTATACACAGCTGACCACCTCATGCCTATATCGTTTGAAATAATTCTTTTTTACATATTATAGCATTGTTCGCTCATACTAAAATCCTCAATCCTACCCGCTTATGAGACACCATACTAAAACGTCTTAATCGCTTAAGAATTATTATCATAGTAATATTAATTCAAGTTCATAACTTATTTTATGTTCATAATTTTAGACTTGAAGATAAAAACATCATCTTGCAAAATTCTGAAACCTTTATTAGTTTACACCGTTATTCATATTTCTCAAATCTCAAAATAAAAAATGCATTTGAAGAAAGCAGCGATACCTTATATTTTAATCAAAACAGCAGTCAATTAAGAAAATGGCTTTATTTTCTAAAACAGTTAACTTGTAATGTGGACATAATCTTAAATCTAATAGACTTTCGGACTATAATACCACCCAATGGTAAGTTACCACATGTGATTGAGATCAAGAATCTGAGAGTTTTTAAGAATGAACACACTTAAAATGATAGTTTCCCGTAAACAGGGATGATTTGTATAATGAATACGTTCTTAACATAATTCTTACAATTCTTCGTCACCTACTCTTTCACACCTCAAGTTTCTATGATCCGCCAAATTATAATATGATCTCTCAGATAATTACTTCAAGAACGTGCGTTAATACCGTTAGTAAGCCTGTTTATTTACTTATATATTCCTGTATTTGATGAATGACGCTTTCCGATTGACAATTTATGTGCAGTAACAAAAAATTGTTACTCAGTAAAAAAATAACTTTTAACCAATTACAATGACTTTTAACCAATTACAATGACTTTTAATCAATTACAATGACTTTTAACCAATTACAATGACTTTAAGCATTTACTGTTCTGTTTCTTACACATACTACTCGATTCATTTCCCCTTAGTTATATAAGACGCCGTGTGATGCTTTGTTCGAACTTTTGCAGTTAAGGAATATCTATTTATTATGATAAGTCAATAAAACAAAACCTTGCATTAACATATTTGTTTATCTATGGACTGATATTTCACATTGGTATGAACGCTTCTGTATATCTGAGGTATCAAGATGGCGCCGCCCAGGCAAGATGTCATGTAGTCGTCTACGACAGAAACGAACCTTCCTTTGAAGTTCAGCTCGGTTGAGTATCGTAAATTTTATTGTATACGTTTTTTGCCATGTTTCGCTTCCCAGAGGTGCCTTCCATTTAATGCTGAGATTCTGGAAAAGCATTTTAGAGACATTTGTCTTCTCTCCTATTTGGTAGTATTACCTGTGCTCTTTATAGACATTGTGAGCTGTTTTTTCACGTACCTGTGATACACCTGTGTTGTCCCTATGGTCGACGACTCGTCACGCTCCATTGAAGTACACCTGCTAATCCCACTTACCTGTTCATCATACCCAGTGTAACTTCTGAGGATCGCGTCGTGTACAATACGGAGTGGCCGAAATAGTGTTGAATTAAAAACTTTATTCCAAAATGGGGAAATCTAAGAGAGGACAGAAAAGCAAAAAAGACAAATAGTGTGAACGAAAGTTTCCATGTTGTTGATGATGAACTAAGTACAGAGAGTGAAAATATGGCAAACCAATCAGCGGGACTTCTAAGTTCGATCATTAATGCCGCCAATGGCGTAATCTATGGAAGCCCACCGAGGACACAGAGAAACCAAACTCTAGCTACGTCGACACCCATCTCTACAAATGACAATTTCAACAACAGAATCGATATGATACTAAAGAAACTTGACAAGCTAGATATTATCGAACAACAAGTAACTGGTCTTGCCAACAGGGTCACAAGTCTTGAGGAAAAAATGTTGGAAGTTGAGAAAAAGTCATCAGTGCTAGAAAACACTGTCAAATTTGTATCTGATAAGTTAGATGACATCGTATCAAAAAATGCTGGTCCCGACCGTGAATCTGTACAGACACTTAACTCGATGAAACGAGAAATGGACGAAATACGGAAAGATAGAGACCAGCACCGCGAGTCAGTTATAGACCTCCAGTGCAAGTCAATGAAAATCAATCTTGTGTTTCTGGGGCTTGGAGGTGAATATCGCGACGAGAACACCGATGTTCTCCGCAAGGAGTTCCTGTACCATGAAATGGAAATCCAAAGGAATATCGAGTTTGGAAACGTCCATCGTTTTGGTAGGTTCACCAGAGGCCACAATCGACCCATAGTGGCAAGGTTCCTCTATTACCAAGACCTGTAGCTGGTAAAGAACAACTCCTTCAGGCTTAAAGGGACCCATTATGTCGTCAGTGAGCAATACCCCTCTGCGATAGAGGAGCGCAGGAAACAACTCTATCCGGTTATGAGGAGATGTAGGCAAGAACATCAACATGTTCGCCTCGTGAGAGACCAGTTGTATGTAAATGGCATACTGTACCAGGACAATGACGACGCCATACTTTCGCCACCGAATGCTACTGACCATCGCGGTGAGGGAGCTTCATCACACTTGCCTCATATCAACCCACCAGTCGACGTCTCTGCCTCCAACGGCGGGTCTTTCAACACCCCACACCAGGATCGTGCTGGTGGCACCAGTTTACTTCACCGATCCCAACCGACGTCATCCTTTGCGAACTTACCTTCCGTTAAAACCCGTGTTCCTAATCAGCAAATGCATCCAAACCATGGACAACCTTCGAGAAGGCTACTTCCGATTTCAACGGACGTTACCAAACCGCCACAGGCCCGGGACCCACAGCTAACCTCGACCAACCGACATCAGCAACAACCAGGCAGTGACATCCATCAGCCAGTGCCAAGGTCGTACCGTCCGAATGTCCCAAATACTCTCTCTGATACTAGCCATTCCAATACCAACGTAATCAGATAGGGATGCGAGCAGAGTGACCACCTCCAAATTGTATCATGGAACATTGGCAAAGGCATGTATAGCAAACTTGACGAACCTTAATTTTGTAATATAATCAAAAATAAGGATATAATTTGTTTAACATAATGTTGGATTACGGAGTAAGATGTTTTTGATATACCACGCTACCATAAATTTTCATTTCCAAGAAAAACCAAAGGTAGAGGTATGGTTATCTTCTACAAACAATCGTTAAGCAACAATTTATCTCTTGAATATCAAATCCATAATAGCGTTGTAATGCTTAAATATTCAAAACAATGTGTTAATAAAAATTTTATATTCTGTTACTTTCTTCCAGAGAATAGTGTATTCTATCAAAATGAAAACAATATAGACCTCTTCTTAAGCTTGGAGGAGCTGCTCTCTCAATAAAAAGAGAGGGTTGATGTTTATGTTACTTGCAATACGATCTCATAGTAAATGATGGTCTAAATGATTCTCTGTTAAACTTGGTTGAAATGTTGAACTATAATAATGATGAGGATATAATCTCACGTAAGAACGCCGATACGTATGGCAACAATTTCGGTAGAAAATTAATGTCTATGCGTATTGCCTCTGGTTTCCGTATTGTCAATGGTCGCCATTCTCGCGACAAAAAGGGAAGTATTACTTTTTGTGGTCACAACGGAACCAGTACAATTGACTATGTTTTAGCAGAAACCGGTAAGTTTAGTAATATTCGTGACTTTTCTGTGGGTCATTTCACAAAAATTTCTGATCGCGCTCCATTGTGTTTTAGCGTAAATTATAGAACAAACTATGAATACTGTGAAAAGGATAAAAACACTAAGTCAAGAGTTGCAAGCGATTTTGTCAAATGGAAGGATGAAAACAGGGAATTGATTAAAACGAAATTAGTAGAAAATGCAATCGCTTT